TTGTCATTCTTAGGAAAGATGGATTAATTTCTTGACAGAGTTCCATGTTCTTTAGAAAACGAATCAACATGTCAGGATCATATTTAGGGAAGAGTCTAGTCAGACCAGACAAACTAACAATACCAGTATTGCTAGCAATGTCAACGTGTTCTTTGAATGTCTCTGGAGCAAAGAGAATCCCATCCACCTCAGTTAGTAGTATACCTCTTATTCACAACAACCCATACCTTCTCTTCACTTTTAAGAACACTCATCAAACCAATTGAGTGCAACGAATCAAGAACATCCAAGACGTCTTCTCTCTTATCTGGTATAAAGTAATCATCATTTTCCTTACCAGCAGACATTACATCAGAGAGGGTCAGTATATTCTCTTTCCTTTCCTCCAGTAGACCATACATCATGTGACAATAAAGACTCAAATTCCTTCCACTTGTACTACGAATCGACTCACAGGCACTACACAACTTATTATAGAAGGAATCCACACCACTCCCACCAAGCTTACGACAATCTAAGAAGACACTATCACAACTTTCCCTTACAATAATCTCCTGTATTTCTTCCTTTCTCCTTCTCCTTTCAACAGGATTACTTATCTCATCCGCATGACTGACTATTACAATAACATGGCATTCATTAAGAGCTTTCAGTGCTTCATTTCTCACAACTGTTAGCCACTGATGAAGCTGTTTGACTGCTTCCTTCTCCAATATATTCACTACTATCAGGAACACACCACCAGAACCTTGTAACAGATTCTCAATGACAGCACCGTGACTGGAGTAGTATTCCGAATGACCAGCAAAATCATGAAGAATGATGTTACCCAGTGTCCTGTGTTGTAGTTTATAAGGAATGATACCAGCAGTACAGGGCACTACCCCTACAACATTTCTAAAGGAACCAAGAAGAGTAAAACTAGCTGCTGTGTCACTGATGACATGACTAAGAGTACTTTTACCAGCTCCAGGATTACCCACAAGGAGGACGTTAACATAAGAATCAATTGGGTGAGATGATTTTATATCACCAAACTTCTTCAAGACAGAAAGAATATCAGTGTGACCATACTCCTTAGCTAGTTTAAATGGTGTGTCCCCCTCATTGTCTTTAGCCAATGGATCACATTTACCAGTTGATAGTAAATATTCAACAGCTGCGGGATTACCCCAACTAGCAGCATAGTGAAGAGGTGTACACCCTTCCCCGTTAACAGCCATTGGATCACAGTGGCCCTCATCAATGAGATATCTCATCACATCAACATGATTACGCCATGCAGCATAATGAAGACAAGTCCAACCATCATCATTTCTTTCGTGTGGGTCACAGTGATATTTAGTGATGAGACCTTTTGTAACATCTAACCAGCCATACCTTGAAGACAAATGAAGTAAACTAACATTATCCCATACACTATATCTCCTTTTAATTTTATTCAGTTCCTTCACTAATGCTAGCAAGCGAACAGCTTCTTTATGATCTTCATTCTCAAACGCATCCCAACACTTGCGCTCTAAGGACATCTTGTGATTAGTTAATTAGATTCATTGATACCCGCCCACACATCAGGAATTCATTATCAATACATGATGTGCATTGTACATGTACATGTGTAATTAAAGACAATAATACAGTTAATAAGTGTATTTTGTATTTTTGTGTTTATTTCTTTTTCTTTTTTCCTTTTCCTTTCCCCTTTCCCTTCCCTTTCTTCCCTCCTCCTCCATCATCCTCTCCCATTGCTTCTTTGATAGCTTTAGCTCTCTTCTTTCCAAGAGGAGTCTTGTTAAACCAAGCCTACATTAACAAAAAAGGTATAAAATATTAGTTCTATTTTTATACTATAATTACATTTACAGTACATATACATTTGTAGATTATTTATAGTAACAAGGTTCTCAGTATTAATTTGCATCAACACTGAATGGTTCTGCCTATAATACATGTACTACATGTAGATGCTATTTTTAGTAACAACTAACAAAGCTCCTACACTACTACATACTATTATTAGTAACAAGGTTCCTAAACAGTTCTAATTATAGATTTACTTTGTACGCTTCCTCTTCTTCTCTATAAATAGGATCAATTTTAGCAAGAAAAGGAATGAATTCTGCTGTGGTTAATGGACGCTTTCGAAGCTTAAGAAAGAGCAAAAAAGAAATTACAAATTATTTATTATTATTATTATTATTATTATTATTATTATTATTATTATTATTATTATTATTATTACTTGCTGTATTCTTCTTTCAGTGAGTACTTGTGTTATTGCAGTGATCATGTGTCCTGGAGTGTATCCGTCTGATACTTTAGCTAATGAGCTCATGTCAAATCCATCAGCAACATGACCGCCATGTTTCAGTATAAGACTCTTCCACTGCACTGATAGTACATAAAATAATTAATCAATTTAATTTATTATTAACCTTTTGCTGTTCTACATGTGCATGAATAGAAAGTTTGAACTGAAGTTACAGCCATTTTAAGAAATATGCCAAAATCTGAAAAATACCCAAGGCTATAGCCTATGCTTTTTTCCAAAAAATGGCTAAAAAATGACCCCCAATTTTATTACATTTTCTGATACATATTGATGTCTTTATGCTGTGT